GTAGTTGCCTAATTTATATTGCAGCTAATTAAAATATTTCCTTCCACTAATTAATTAGTGGTTGTATAATTTCAAATCCCTTGATAATAGAGGTCTCATCGAGCAATCTTAAGTCTCATCAAGCTATCTTAAGTAGGCGCTATCTATCGCCTTTCTTAAATAGTGCTAATACATATGTCTTAGAATTTGAGTATGACCAATAATTTAATATTTTATTTTCTTTCTTAATATTTGTTTTTAATAACGGATAAGTATGTATCAATTCAATTTATGAATATACGGTGCATTTATATGTTCAAAAAATATTAGTATTTGCATGCTCCTTCGTATACCGTATATCTCTAATAATATTTTTTTTATGAAATTATATTTAATATTCTCCGCGCAACGCGCGGGTACGGATACTAATTAAAATGAAGAGAGTAAGATGGAGTCGAAGAGATAATTAAATACTATAAGCATTGTAATTCAACTTGTTACCAATAAAACAATGGCAAGGGTTTAATCGAACTATAATATTGATATATAACAGTTATATGAATACTAAATATAAATATGAATTTATAATTTCAAAAATATAATGCAGCTCGGTGCTTAAAGTAATTCAGAAGATAATTAAAATTAAAAGCTATTCAAATATTCAAATATAAGGGTTTTATGCCGATTTATAAATACTACTCTGACCAATTTAGTACTGCCAAAAAGTGATGCTTTTATGCGGAGATGAGCAAAGGGTTCTTAAGATCTTGAATGAAAGTGAGAAACAGTAACTACAGTTTTTATTATTTTAAAAATAAATTTTTATTTGTCACGTTTAACATATCAAGATAAGATAATTTTTTTTTCTATTAGTATTAATTACTCATTTCAAATTATTTTTTTAAATTTATTAAAAATATGTATTAATATGCGTATTATGATAATTATGCACTTTATTTATTATTTTTTAAAGAATGTGCAAAGTCCATAATAAATAAGTAAAAGTAATCGGGAGGAAGTATGTGAGAAACGATTACATAATGAGAAATTTTCATAAAGCACTATCTTTTAGTAGTAATTAGCCATCTATAGATACCATTTGTTACATTATTGATTATAGATATCTTTTATGCGGTTATAAGATGTATTTGATGTATTTAAGCTATTGTATTCATGAATACAGTAGCAAAAATAGGCGTGAATCAGGGAAGTCCAGCTAATCAGTTGTTCTATTCGACTGTATTCATGGGGTGAAACATGGGATTACAGCTGGACAGATTATTGTATTCGACTGTATTCACGGCGTGAAATAGGGGATTACACAGTTTTTAAAACGGAAAGTGAATCAATTAACATAATAGACTCCTAATATAACTCAACAACTCAATTATAATACACAAAATTTGTATTTTCAGTTATAAAAAAGATTCTCAACCAAAAAATACCCCAAAAACATAGTAATCTTCAGAGAAATTATATAATACATCTAAATGCATAAATTATATTAATTAAAAAAAACTTATGAATACATTCATGGCATATAGCGAGACAGTGAATACGATAAAATACATAGAATACAACGGGATACATTGAAATACAATGAATAAAAGGCAGAGAATACAATAATCACATGAAATACAGAGACAAGTATTGATGGTCGATTAGAGGCCGGTGCAGAGCTCGAGTCCAGTTGTTTATTCAGGAAGGCATGGACGTTAAATCGAATGGACTGCCTGAAAACACTATGAATTTTTGGGGCGGCAAATGCTACGGTGGCGAATGAAGCTGATGAATTAGGAAGCAGTGAGATTGAAAGGAGCATCATGCATTTAAAAATGGATAATTCGGACAGAGAGATGATTTGCAGAGGAAGTGATAGAAGCACCAGTGGTGGGGGGTTACACTCGAAGTCCACAACAATTGGGCCTTGAAGATTAAGATTAAGAGAAATTATAGCAACAAATGACAACTATCAAGCGAAAATTAGGTTTATGTCGAGATTGGGGAAGAAGGAAGCGGTGTGGGTGAGAGTTTCTCTGGTTTTGGGCGAGTTTACAGTGAATGGGAAAGAGAATAGAGTGTATCAAAATAAGAGATAGAAAGAACGTGTATTGTGTCTTAAGTGTAAGAGATAACCAAAATTAGAAATTTTGCTATAAACCATAAAAGGTATTTATGGAATATAATTTATTTAAATGGTATTTATTTAATATAAATAAGGTGTTAACCTTTGATATAGGATGTAAAAATTCCTTACATAATTTTATCAGCTCGAAAGACTACATGGACATGGTAGAAGTTGGTTGGATCCCAATATCTTTTGGAAAAACGAAAGGCCAAATAAATATACAGACTATTAAATACGGCCCAATTTTTCATTTTGGCACTTTAACTCAGTCTTGTTCCATTTTGGCCCTCCAACCCCATTTCTTTTATTCCACTTTGATACTAAAAAATTTCTCCCAAGTAAAAATGCAGCGCGTGCAAATACCCAGCTGCTACCTCCACTCCCACCCCACTGCCCCCACCCCCCGCAATTTTTTTTTAACTTTTTTTTTTGTAATTTCAAATTCTGGATCTGCCTCTACGTTGGAAGTATGAAATTTGGCTTAAAAATGGCTCACACGTGCCTACAAGGGTGAGGCAAATCGCACATGAAATCTAGTCAGCTTTTGTGTCAAAGTGGAACAAAAAAAATGGGGTTGGAGGGCCAAAATGGAAGAAGACTAAGTTAAAGTGCAAAAATAAAAAAATGGGCCAAGTTTAATGTGTTGTCTATGTATTTGGCCAAAACGAAATATCACATGTTCATCAAAACTAATAGCATGTTTGGCCCAACTTCTGCAATCTTAGAAACACTCTTTTTTTAAAAGAGTACTTTTTTTTTTTCAAAGTTGAAATATTTGGCCAAACTTTTAGAAGAAAAAAAGTATTTTTCAGAAGAAGCAATTTTAGATAAGTAGAAAAAAGTAACTTCTCTCCGAAAGCATTTTTTTGAAAATACTTTTGAAAAAATGCACTTGGAAGCAATTTTAAAAGATTCCAAAAGTACTTTTGAGAAAAAACACTTATCAAAATAAGCTTATTTTTGTATCTTGGCCAAACAGGCTATTAAGAATGACACTTTATCTACGCAACAAAATATAAATTCTTATCACTTAATCATAATTTTACAAATTAGAATTTTTCCATTTTTATGCATAGGAATTTTTCGAATTCCTACTCGTCAATTCAAATTAACTTTTTCAGTATATTTTAATGAGAATATAATCAATCAAAGATGTGAATAATTTTTAACAAAAAAATTTATTCTTGTTCTTTAAATTTTCAAAAAGTTTTAAATACATTGAAACTTTCTATCTGTAATATTAATTTGGCTTTTAGTTCCTGTATTTCAGAATATTTAATGATGATAAAATAAAAATGTTATTCAAACTATTATCATATGAAATGATGTTCATTGTGTAAGAAGGTTAAGGGTCTGTTTGGAAAGTCATGCGGTAATTAGAATTGGTGTAATTACACAACTTAGTAATTACACAATAAAGTAATTACGACAATCTATTTGTTTGTCATAACATAATTACAATGTAATTACACGCGTACTGTTTGATTGCACAAGTGTAATTACACAGTTAAATTAAATTTTAAATGAAGTAATTATCAAAACTTAAAAGTTAATGTAATAAATATATGCTTATAAATGATTTGTTATAAGTAGAAATGATAACAGATTTGGTATTTAAGATGTATATTTTTTCGTGAATATACATTAATTAGTAATCATATATTTATAACTAATATTCTAAAAATAATTTTTATATATATTCCAAATTAATAATATTTAGTTAAGTTACTTAAACTAAAAACATATGTTTTGTAAGAACATTGTGGAATTCATGTTTGATAAAATAAAATAATATTTATAAATATAATATCATAACATTATTCATATGTTTGACAAAATTAATCTATTAATTCTAACTAAAAATGAACAACATGTAATGTGAGCCACTAAAACGAGTAAATTAGAACCATGAATATAAACAATTTCAAAATTCAAAAAAAAAAAAAGTTTAACATATGTCAAATTCCAACATAATAATAGTAAGTTCCAATACAGCTTAAGATTAGGAAACATAATAAGTTTATAACCACATTCAACAACGAAATTCTACTTTAATTACATCACTCATTATATGTCAAGTTTGTTAATGACTCATTATTTCTAGTATTAGGAGGTGTAGTTTCAAAAACTAGAATAATAAAACAAATGAGAAATAAAATATAAGCAATTACATGGAATCACAAGAAGTAAAGATAGAGAAATAAAAGATAAATAATGTACAAAGAAAAATATATTTTAAAATTTTCAAAAGAAATTAAAAAGTAAATAAAATTAAAAAAATATATAATAATTACAATAAAAAGTTATAAAGAGAAAAAATTAAAATAAAAACAAAAAGGAAAGAAATTAAAAAAAAAACTTATAATTGCACAGTGTAATTACCACCAATTCTCACATCTCCTTAGAGAATTACAACAATAATAACGACCCAGTAAAATTTCATTAGCGGAGTCTGAAGAGGGTAGTGTGTACGCATACCTTACCCCTACCCGAGAGAGTAGAGAAGTTATTTCCGAAAGACCCTCGGCTCAAGAATTGAAGAGTGTAATTATACCCTTTCAGTTACATACAATTTTATAGTGACCAAGTAATTATTGGACCAGACAAATATATTAAAAGGTATAATTATATTCAATTACACTCAAATTCAATTTCTATGTGGGTTTCCAAATATGCTCTAAATGTATAATTTTGAAATCAATTGTTTTTCGGCGGTTAAAATGCTTTCTGAAAATACCGAATTATGTTTCCACGTCATAATTAACTGCGGGGCAGTACTCAACTGAAATCTGGAAACTTCCACATTCTTCCCCCTTGTACGACCTCTGTTTTTCTAGACCCATCTCTCTCCTTCTCTTTAATAATAAAATATAACACACTCCCCCTTAAAACCTTTTAACATATAATATCCCACAACTCAAATTCCAAAAACAAACTTCAATCATTCTATTACACACAACACAACACCTGTTTATCTTTCTAACTCATCAAATTTAAGCTCAATTATTTTTACTGGTAAATTAAAGAGTAAGAAGATGGGTGCAGATTATTATAAGGTATTGCAGGTTGATAAGAATGCTAACGATGATGATTTGAAGAAAGCTTATAGGAAGTTGGCTATGAAATGGCACCCTGATAAGAACCCCAATAACAAGAAAGAAGCTGAGGCTAAATTCAAACAGATCTCTGAAGCCTATGAGGTAACATAATTCTTGCTCCTTATTCTTCATTCTATTTATTTATTGTATTAAGCTACTAATCTATGTTTCCAATACTTTGTTTCTTGAAGTTGCTTATGTTAATTATGTAATATAAATAGAGGATGTCCATCATGTAATTAAAACTAGCTAGAATGGAGTTTCAATTGTCTATTCAAGCAAAGGGGAGCTAGGATTTTAAGTTTTTGGGTTCGGGATTTTGATTCTTTTAAGTTATTGAATTCTAAATTAATAATTTATTCATATTCAATAGATTTCTTAAGACCAATACAGAGTTTGGACCAAAGTTACTGATTCGGTCTAACCCATAGGCGAAGAGCTAGCTCCGCCCCTGTATTCAAGACGGTATTTTCATAAGGCATTCAAGATTGTTCGCCACTGGTTGGAACACTTCGGAATTTTTTCTTTATGAAAAACTATATGATCGTGTATGCAGGCGGAATTTAGTCTGGATTATGATTATTTGTTTGATTTGGAGTTAATTTGTAATTTACAANACTTAGTTTGGATTATGATTATTTGTTTAATTTGGTGTTAATTTGTAATTATCGTGCAGGTATTAAGTGATCCACAGAAGAGGGCAATATATGATCAGTATGGGGAAGAAGGGCTTAAAGGTCAAGTGCCACCACCTGATGCTGGTGGACCTGGTGGGCAAACATTTTTCCAGACAGGAGATGGACCAAATGTATTTAGATTCAATCCTAGAAATGCCAATGATATTTTCGCAGAATTTTTTGGATTTTCGAGCCCATTTGGTGGGGGTATGGGTGGTGGTGGTACTGGGATGAGAGGTTCAAGGTTTTCTAGTTCAATGTTTGGTGATGATATCTTCAGTTCATTTGGAGAAGGCAGACCAATGGGTTCAGGTCCCCGAAAGGCGCCACCGATTGAAAGAACATTGCCTTGTAGTTTAGAAGAGCTTTATAAGGGGACAACCAAGAAGATGAAAATCTCTAGGGAGATAGCTGATGCAAGTGGGTAAGTAAGCTAATCACTTTTTCAGATATGATATGCTTGTTCTTTATTATTTGGCTTGTATTGTTATGTAGTCATGTTTGTCCTTACTGTTAGTTCAGAAGTTATGGTCCCTGCTTGGTCAACTGGCAAACTAGTATCTGTTGAATTCATTACGCTTCCATGAATGGATCGATTACTTTGTTGTTACATTCTTGTTTTGATGATCCTTCTTGTTGTCTCATATGATTTCTCACTGTTGAGAGCCAACCTGATTGCTGACCAATGTCCGTCAGGTAGTCTGAAACTTGTATTTGCTGCATCTTTCGGATGAAACTTTTACTTGAAAATTATGCTTCAGTGTCGATAACAGGAATATTATAAAGAAACAAGTAGGATAGAAGGAGTAATAGCTTAAATGTATTATATGGCTTTGCTGCACATTCTTGTGTTTCATAGATCAAAATCGTGCGTGTGAATTATAACTTCTTAATTATTCAGTGGCATAGAAACATACAAAAGAACAAGCTAATGTCCAACTCTTTTCATCTGCTCGAATTACAGAAAGTCGCTACTATTGTTGTTGAAACTTTATCACTATTCCCAGTCTTTAATCTGGTCCTACAGTCTATAATTCAAATCATTACACTTTCTTGTAACGGCAAATCATTGATGTGTTGAGTGTGAGCTTCATGGCACTTCACTTGATATTAAAGCCAATGTTGTTAGTTACGTATGGTCATAGTCCATTCGAATTGCTTTACAGCAACTCAGTATGGATTTGTCTTATACTACGCACTGATGGTGTAAATAAATTTTTATGCAATCGTGCAATTTAACCCCTTGTAGAAGGTTATCTGCCTTGTTTTATAGTTACGTTTAGTCACCTTTTAGGTTACCAGACAGTGTAAGAACTTTCTACACCTTCATGTATAGAAGTTAAACTCATCAATCGATATACTGATGACTAATTTTTTATGTGCAGGAAGACTTTACCAGTAGAAGAAATTTTGACCATTGACATCAAACCTGGCTGGAAAAAGGGAACGAAGATTACATTCCCGGAAAAAGGAAATGAAGAGCCAAATGTTGTAGCTGCAGATCTTATGTTCATAATTGATGAGAAACCACACAGTGTGTTTACGAGGGACGGGAATGACCTTGTGACCACTCAGAAAATCTCACTGGCTGAAGCATTAACAGGCTACACGGTCCATCTAACGACACTAGATGGAAGAAAACTGACTGTTCCTATTAGCACTGTAATACATCCAAACTATGAAGAGGTTGTTCCAAGGGAAGGAATGCCAATAGCGAAAGAGCCTTCAAAGAGAGGGAATTTGAGGATCAAGTTCAATATCAAGTTCCCTACAAGGTTAACAGCAGACCAGAAGACTGGAATCAAGAAGTTGCTTGCTTCCTAGGCCAAATTGTTTACAAGTACTCATAGTTAGTGTACGCAATCTCTGTGTTCTGCTTTTCACTTTCTTTTTTCTTTTTCTGTAGTCCTTTTTTTCCTTTGTATCTTGGGTAATTGGTTCGAGTTGTAGTCTTCCTGTATTTAGCTACAAATTGTGAGTGTAGGACAATAAATGAATGATGTGATAGTAATCAAAGGATTTGACATTTTAAGCTCTTCAAGAATTCTTTTCTAAGCTAAAGCTGGAGATGTCATAACAAATCTGTTGTCGTACTCACTTAGCGACTCATTGTCGCACGCTGTCTGATCTAATGAAGGTCGTGGAATCTGACTCTCCCTAAAAGTAGGCTTTGTATTTTTTGTGCTTTTTTCATTTGTTAAAATGATAGTGGCTTTTAGAGATCGAACCTGCAAAGAGCAAGGGACAGCAAAACCAGTGGACAAAAGCTGCCAATACTGTTTAAAGTAATAAAATATTGATACACTATTTAATATGAACTTGTCTCAAGAAAACGAAAAGGTTGTTGAAGATTAATGTACTTAATTGATATTCATTGATATGATTCGAATGCGTTTTCTTAATTAATATTTATTATTATGTGACATCGACACCAATTACCAAGAATCCTGCGTATGCTAGCTGCTACACATGTTCGTTCGTGAATGTCCATCTTTTTCGTCATTTGGCAGTAATAGTTCCCCAAAAATTAAGGATTATCAGTGGAAAACACAAAGATGGATTTGGATAATAAAAGGTGAATAGCACGAGCAGTTTTTGAAGGTTCACATGTGATTTCCTCTTATGAGATCCGAGGGTGTTTACTGTTTAGATAAGTTTATATATGCTAGTTAGAAGCATTTTTTGGTTTATTTACGCATTGGTTAATAATAAAAGTGTTTAAAGTGCTTACAAGTTAAGAGAAAAGATATAAATTGGTTGCTCCTGGCATTATACAAACTTTTGGTTTGAGTAAACCTTTAAGTACTAGTTTGCTCCTGATGCCTCGGTAACCAGAAAAACCCTTGAGTCCCAAAGTGGTATAAAAGACAAATCACAATGATAAGGCCACTACTCATTAACATAGAAGTAAAAATGATCAGAAATGTGCAGCTGCGGAATTTGAAAGAGCGGTTGTATCAGCCCCCATATTACACAATTGCACGACGATACTGGAAGTCGGACTAACCAATTTTATACTATTCTGACATCTGCTATGAAGATAAAATGCTGATAAAATTGCTCCTTTTAAGACTATACACAAAGACAAGCCTACTCTCGGGCTCCATCTCAAAAGAATACCAAAGTTTATCAAAAAGAAAAAAAAAAGAATGTAATCAAACCAGACCTCTGTGTGCTCTGGCGATCGACTATATTACGGCTGTCAAGCCCCCCCTGAAACTCTTGGCAACCTCAATCACTATAATCTCCGGACTCTGAAGAGTCCGACTCTTGATCCTCATTGACATCCCCATCCCTATCTGAGTCGTCCTCAACCATGTTACCATATCTTTCCATATTTTGGCCATGGCTTCTGTATCTATCATCGTTGTCATTATCAGGGTCATCATCGTCATCGTCATCGTCGTCATCGTTGTCATCGTCATTGCCATCACAAGCAAAACCATCCTGATCCTCATCTGACATTTCCATTAAATCACTCCTGTTAAACTGGTATGTATTTTCGGGAGCACAGTCATCAGAATCAGCAGCTTCCATACTATTACTATCATCATTTGTGGCTTCTATTCCTTCAACATTCATGTCAAACTCTTCTCTCCCATGCTTTCTAGGTGGTACTACAAAAGTTAGTCGGCTGCCTTTATCACCCAAATAATCTGGTTGAATCTCTTCAACAATTTTCTTCTCTATTCTCCTCTTCCTAACAGTTCGGCGACCTCGTACATGTCTCTGTCCATGTGTTTCTCCCTGCTTAATAAGAACTTGAGTTAACGTCTCAATAGGCCTTACACCAGCCCTGCCAGATTCTGATATTTTGCTAGCAGATCCCTTCTGCAGCCTTCCACGGGGACGACCACCTCCTCGCCCACGAACAACTTGCCTACTTCTTGAGCTGCTAGGCATACTGCTGAGGTAATCCCAGTTCTCTTCTCTCAACGGTCCATCTCGATCTACCTCTGGTTCTACCTTTTGCAGATCTTTCATACAAGCATACCCCAAAGATGGATTCTGAATGCAAGAAAAAATAAGTTACCAATCTAATACAGAAGAAAAGCATCATTAGCCAAAAAATGGTATCAATTTTATAGTGACAAGTATTATCCAGTCCTAGATGCGATTCAATGTCACACCACATGCAAGTTGACAAATTGTATTACACCAAATAAATCAATAACGACAGTATCATGCAGTACAAACAGACATGGATAAATATTAAAACCAACGAAATTAATAACAAAATTACTTGAATTAGAGGAGAAGACAACTCAACTGGAAGGCTATCTACTTTATTTTTTAACTCAGCCTCCGTTTTCTGCTGAGGATCATAGGATATCGAGGCATCAAGCTCCAAAAGTCTGAGAGCCACTGCACCAGTGGTCTGAGGTATCCAAGGGAGTTGTGGCACAGATCCAGGGAAAGTAGATTCACAAGCCGCATTTATCGATAAAGCACATAGACCCATCAATTCTTCTGCAGTCTCATAGTCGGCAGACAAGTAATCACGCTTGATGACGCCCTCCAACTGAGTCAGAATCTGCAAAAAGAATTCCAGACAATCAAGAACATTTTTTTCTTGCATCTTCCAAGTTTGGAGGGGGTGTATAGAAACAGGTTCAGCAACAGATATCAAATCACCCGAACTATTATACTGGAGGTTATTATGCATGTGGCACGGGGACATGCTTTCTGCAAAGTACAGTCTTTAGATGATCCCAGCATCACTAACACAAATAATTTGAGGAACAACCAAGGTGTGAAACCAATTCCCAGATAAATGCATAACCTTTGCTTTTCTATTCTACTCTTTCCTTTCCATTTTTCAACAAGTATAAGAAAGAACTCGCTAGGAAGAAATCTTGCCAGTTCCTTATCATACATAATAGCATATTCTTATTTCACTAAACTCACAACACCCTAAAATAAATTGTAGCTTGACAATTCGTAAAAGAACTACAATTCGAATTTGCCTATAAACTAAATAAATCTGAAAATCATTTGAAAAAACTCATACGAAAAGATAAATTTGTTCAATTTCCCAATAATAATGCCATATAACATGAGCCAAAGGGAGTGAGATAAACCTGGAGAAGATCCTCAGGAGACAACGAATTTTGCAGCTTCATGCCCCATGTCCTTCTACGGTCTTCTGTCCAAGATGATTGAAGTGCCTCACATGGCACATAAACCTGACAATTCCAGAGCAAAAAAATTAAATACTAAAAATCACACTGGAAGAAACTAAAAGCTGTCAACAGGGTGTGCCTCATATGTACTTGATTTTCATGTCTGTCCAGACATCAGAAAGATAAACACATAAGGAGTAAAGTGAAAGTGAACAGTCCAACAGAAAACCAGATTCTCGGAGATAGATCTCAAAGACTCAAAGAATCTCACCTCAAGGAAACTCAATAGGGCCTTCATCAATCTGACTCTTAGAGGACAAGCATTTGAAACCGCCAATTTATTGTAATCAATTTTAAGATTGTCCATAGAATCCATTGCCTGCTCTGGGAACTCAGCATTCATGTCAACTTTGCTACTCATCTTGTTGCAAGAAGGGCAGTTGCCCTCTTCTGAAGGATAAGAATCTAAACAATGGCGACAAATGCCCAAAAGCGGCAAGCACCTTTTCTTCCCATATCGCATGGCACATAATATTGATGAGCTGAGACATTCTTTCCACATCCAGCTCTGAAAGCTTTGGTATCTCTTGAAGGCATTCCTTCTCTCTTCCTCATTCTTCCCGAGCTCAATTTTAAACGACGAAGATGTTTCCCAGCTATCAGAACCCATACCATAAATGGTACTGCTAGGACTGTCAGCACCTGCACCAGAGGCTGGGCTTGAACTAGCTGCAGAAGATTCATTTTTACATTTGTTTCCATGTTGAACTATGATATCATCATAAGATCGTCGCACACGTTCTTTGAAAGGACCCTCAATCTTTTGCAACATAATATGCAAATGTGATTCCCTGACCCCTCGAGTATCCAAAGAAGCCAAAAGACAATCGAATGCCTGCAGGTAAAATAAAGGATTAGTAGATAAACAGATAATAGCTAGGTATGGTATACAAGACCTTGCTAAGATCTATATAATTATACAGGGTGTTTCCTTAACCCCAATAACTTTCCTTAGCCAAGAAAAGCAACAATGTCCACAGCACCTAAACACAATAATTCTTTCTAAACTTTGAATTCATCTAGTTCTTCATTTCTTTAGTGAGTCATCTCATTGTTCTTTGTATTCTCTTCTTCAGTATAAATTACTTTCCATTTCTTACACCTAAACACAGAAACAACCTCTTTGCAGAAATGCAAGGTAAGGTTGCATACAATAGAACTAACTTGATCAGTCCCATTCTCGGACCCGCCCATAGCGCAAGCTTAGTGCACCGGGCTGGCCTCTTTTTTGTTCCTAACCAAAATAGTGCAAACATCTTCCCTTCCGTGGAACATATATTCAACCATACTGAACCTGCTATAACAATTTATTAACAGTGAAGTGTATTCTGAAAAGGAAAGGAAGGAACATACCTCTTCAGTGTCAATAAGTCTCCAGCAGCCATGAGGTGGTTCAACAAATATCCTACCAGAACCAGGATCTTCGCTAGAACCAGAGGCAACAAATAGCCAGTAGCGATTGCGTCTGCGGTCTTGACCTAAAGGCAATGACCTGTATACATACATTTCTTCTGCTTTGTGGCCAATGAAAGACTTTAACTGCATGCGTGACCTTTCTGCTGTACTCCCACTAGGCTGTATGGCCAATTCACCCATGAAGGTTTCTTGTGCCACTGAACTCTTTTCAGCAGAGATGCTTTCAAAGTGGTTCTGAACATTGTCTACGACAACAGCAGATTCATCCTTAACCAACGTGGTTGGTGCTGTCCCTTGATTTTTACTGTTTGGAAATCCCAATGGGCTTTGGCTGCCCTCTACCACAGCATTGAAGGAACTATCAGTAAATTTATTGATCGTCTCCTCCTTCAATCGTCTTTTATCCAACTGGGCTTCAGCCCACATTTGTTTTTTCAAAGCATTTGCTGCATCCAGACGATCCTGCAAAACCATCTTTCTTAGGTAGCTGAGAGAGACAGTAATGGTCGTTACTGATGAATTTGCCAGATTTATTACCTCAAGAATTACACGGATAGAATTCCCTTCATTTGCTATGCCAATCAAGGCAACAAGAGCATTTAGACGCTCCTCAACACATAGGTCAGAGTATTCACCTTCAGTGAGTCCTTGAACCCATGGCTGACCTGCTTTGCTCTCATCAATTTCTGAGCATTCTTGGCTAGGATTACTTCCCTCAATACCTATATATAGATCATCTAGATAATGAAAAATAGTGTTTTCGACAACTACTACACAGTGCTTTCACATTAAAAAGGGCAAATAAAGCATAAAATAAATCAGTAGTTAAAATTATGTCCTTACCAGCAACATCAACTCCAATTTGTTGTGCAACCTCATCAGAGGGCTTACTTTTTCCATTCACCAAGCAGGTGTCAAGTATGCTGCATTGCTCACTATTCTTGTTTGCACCATATGGAGTACCCAGGTCATCGACTTCTGGACCTTCAGCAACATCACCTTCACCTTCAGAATCGTCATCTCTTTCTTCATCTTCGGCATTTTGTCCAGAGAGAAATCCATTAGCATATCTTTGTATTTTCTCCTTGGCTGCTGAAATAATTGCATCAGCATCAGCAGGATCCTTCCTGAAAGCAAGTCGCACATTGTACGTTGAAGGAGCAATTCTTTCAAAAAGTATGGGATCCCTTGATAAAGCAACAGATATAGAGGCTTCTGGAGTCTTGCTTGTTGAAAGGTCACGTAGGCCAGATTTCTGGGAACAAAAAGCAGAGAAGTAAATTAACAAGAAAAATCTTCAGACATATTGAACCAATTAACATAAGAGACAGCGATAATGTGCATCAAGAGAACAGTTACTTGAATCCTTTCCGCAATATCTAGAACATTCAAGCCCTTGTCTCCCTCGAGAGCGAGAACATGGTAAGCAGCAAATTTCACAGTCCCTGGTGTCAATCGATGCCTGGATTTGCGCTGCGACATAAATCCTTTTTCTTGCATAATTGCAACAGCTTTTTCAGCTGCCGAACCACTTCGCAGGGTGGATACAACATCTTCGCAGCCTTTAGTCTGCATAATAGGGAAACAATACCATAATTAGACATAGTGCACTATCTATTTGACATAGAATGTCAAAGACCGGATGCAGGTACCATTCTAGGATAAGAGGGAGCTCTCTGATGGTCATCATGGAATTATCATTTAAAAGAAAACGACAGCATCCCACGAAACAACAGTTAAGCCTCAATTCCAAGCAACTTAGGGTCGACTATATGAATCCATAGTAACCATGCCGTTCCATTTAAAGACAGCATCTCACCACATAAGTCCAAAAGGTAAAGCTTCTAATCAACGCAGGAACTATACAATATCAACTAATTGAGATAGTTGGGAGAGCAAATGACTTGGGATGATCTACTAAAAGGTGATATAATTTAAAGCCCGTTTGGATGGGCTTGTTGTAAGTAAGCCAAAAGCCATAAGTTAGGAATTCTAGCTTTTGGCTTTTGGCTTATTTTTGTCATTTTAGCTTAAAAATAAGTGCTTAAAAGCACTTTTTTACTTCATCCAAACACTACAAAGTGGCTTAAAAGCACTTAAAATAAGCCAATCCAAACGGGCTCTTCTGGCTAGGAAGCTAGTTTCCATAATCAATCAATCAGAAGCAGATTGACTTTGACTTCCCCACTCTCTCATCCAATTCTGTACTACCACAATTCCGATTCGTAGACCTACATAGCCACATATATACCAACATTTTCTTTTTGTAACAGTGGTGTCTAGACCAACTTAAACTCACCTCGACTATTTCCCCCAGGTACCTCTGCTCAACCAGGCTCAGACAAATGGGTAGAAAATCACCTAGTGCTTTTTTGTCTCTACTGGGATTTGAACCCTGGTCTCCCATGTTTTCACCCACTTCATAAACCTCTAGCCCACACCATTTGGTGCGACACATATATCCCAACATAACATTCATGTACATGAAAGAAACAATGGTTGGAAACGACAATTGAACGACAAACCAGTCTGACTCCTAGTGGTCCAAGATGATTTCAAGACACAAGTCTTGACAAAAGTACTGTGATAGCAACTGAATAAGCTATGATCAAAACTAGGCAGATTAGCAAATGGAGCATGAACTTGGGCTGATATTAACCAGACCATATATCTGGTAAAGCCATAGAAATAGCACTACCACCAGAATGAAACATAAGATAACGACTTGACACAACACAAAAACAGCTGGAAGAAAGCATATGTTCAAATTGCAACAACTGTCAGTCCTATGGCTATAGCAGAGAGCAATCACAGAAAACCAGTTCAAACACAGCTAGAGTAGTCCCTTAAGCGTAATCTTTGTTACTTTAGTTTCTAGTTAAGTCAAATTTGGAAACATTCAAGGAAAAGGAACTATGTGGTTTTTGCATTATGCATCTCCATAAGCTTTGATCAATTTCAAAATAACCAATTATTAAAAAAAAAAATCTCCGTCTGCAGCAATCAACGTCAAAATATCCCGCTACATAGATTATTACCAAATACTAGATCTTAAACCACATATAAAAATAGAAGCCTTGATATATTAGCCAAGATGAAAATGAGGACAGAAAATGTAGCACCTCATCAGAATCATTCAAACAAGCCCTTTCTCTCTTTTTCTTCAATGGAGGTCCAAATCCAGCAGAGAGCGCAAATTGACGCAGTACTTCAGGCCATGTCAAAGGAGTTAAGTGTTTCTGCCAATTGCGTATGTCAAAACCCCAAAGATATGCCTGTCAATGAAGTCCACAAACTGGTAAGCTTTGATCATTCTACAAGAGAGTACATTACGGCCTACCACCAATGGAGTATCGTGGAAAAACATCCAACATGGGTGTGTTATCCATGAACTTGATAAAAAAAGAAAGTGCATTACGGCCTAAAGAGGAAGTATGCACAGCAGTGATTACCCCTTCAACTATTTGAGGATGTCCACCTTCGGGATTGACAGCACTATACTGATTTGTTCCAGGCCCACCAGAAGGAGTTCGAGCAACATCTTCAATATCTTTTATAATCAGTTTCAGAAGAGCAATATGTATCTCAGCCAACAATCTGGAATCCTGAAAAGATAAAGCAAGTAAACTAAGGCAATCAGTGCCCAACATCCAGCCTTTTTTAAGAGATAGGACAACTTGGAAGCCCACAGGAACATGCCGAAAAAGCAACTCAGACCCTGAGTTCACAGTTAATTTCAGCCAAAGGTACTCACATAGTCATGGAAAGCTTGAAGAAATTCATCAAGAGTGAAAGGCCAAAGCCCCAGAATATCTGCAAAATTTAAGCAGAATCTCCAAGCCTGTAAAAATCAGAAGGTTTGATGTTTAGTTCAAAGGCACTAAAGAGACCTGACTCAACTGAAAAGAGCAAAATCAATATAGAAGACGTGGTGTAGAATGCCATCATCAATTACCATCCCTCCATCCAAGTAAAGATGACCTACCACTTTTGTCTACCCCAGAAAACATTCACCGGTTTCTTTAATATCTGAACTTCAGTCCCTACTAAAAGTCAAACTAAGATAAACCAAATACTACTCCACATCATTTCAAACTTAATGCATAACATCCATTAAAGTATTAACATTTTATCTCCCACACACAATTTAAAAATCAAATGAAAAAAGATTAAATCCACAGGTGTCATTTCAGAGAGGAAGGCACATGACACTACCAGTTTGCGTGTAACATTACAAAAGACCCTTTAATATAGATGTTCAAGTAAGACAAACTTCTTTAAAAAAGAAAGATAAACTTGAAACTTGCAAAAGACAGAAATTCCTATGTTAAACTGACTAAAAGCATTCACTTTCGAGTTTATATAACCCGGATGAAAAAGGAAGTCTCTCCACCATGCTTAGCCTATTTCAATCTGAAACATAAACAGGCTTTGCAATGATGAGTGGTTTAAAATCCTTGCACCAACCCATGATTAGGTACGGATAAAAAAAAGGAGTAAATCTGCTGCTTATATAATCATCAAAATTGAAGTGATCATCGTCTCGATGTGTACTTGATAAGTTGAAGGATAAGAAAAACATCAGCCAACTAGTGACATAGACAAATATAAAGGAGCCATTTAAAAGACAAAGCAGCATACCATAAGAAGATTCCCAACATTGTCATCTGAGGCATTCCAGGGTTGGATGGAGAATGGCCTTTTCAATTGGACAGACTTGGGAGGGAATTCACACAAAGATTCTGGATCACATACAATGTATTTCAGTAACAAACCAAAAACTTCATCACCTTTGCAGATAAGCAGCTTAAATAAAGCAGAGAGAAGAGAAAAGAATGAATTACATGTAGAATTTACTACTTCAAACCGGATTACAGTATAAAACTTGTACCAGCAAATGCAGGTAATCACTGACTTTTATGGGAGCCCTACCATCTAGCATGCACTTTGTCAAAGATACAGGTCAAAAATGCGACAAAAATGAGGTTCCAACATATGTTATTGATAACTAATCTGGAACTAAAGCCTTAAAACTAAAACATGCATGCAGATTTAATTTTCATTGCGACAGTCAAGTTAACAAACTCCTACCTCGAAATGACTCAAGGTTCTGCAAAGTATCATAATCAAGAGACGCAATTGATAGTAACCCTTTGCTAGAAGCAGCCAGATCCATGAGTTCCAAGCGCTCATCCTCAATCAGCTCCATTGATTCTTTGGCAATTCTGCGCGCCATTGCCCTCTCCATAGCAACCTTCTGTTTTGCAGCTTCCCTTTCTTTTCGAAGCTCTTCTTTTTGCTTCTTCCTCTCCACCTATGGATTACAAAACCAATAGTACCGGGAAGAATTAAATTAGCAGATTTGAAAGAAAAAATTAAACGCGCCGGGAAAATAAAATTCTCATTCTGATACCAACCCTCAAGAGCTCTTTCTGCAAAAACTTCTCCCTCCTCTCCATTTCACGCTTTTCCTCGCGCTGAAATCGCTCCTCCTTCCTCTGCTGTTCCCGCATCAGCCTTTGTTCTTCCTTTCTTCTTTCACGATCCTGTCTCTCCATTTCCTTTTTCATTTGTTCTTCCCTCTTACAAGCAAATAGTAGTGTGTCAGTTGTAACAGGAAAAATAGTTTTTCATTGTTTGCACTTTTGCAAGAAGATGCAGAAGGTACATATCCAGAAATGTAATTATTCCATACTTTCCGTCGTAGTAGATCTTGCTTCTCAAGTTCTTTCCTGATCCTTTTTTCATTGGCTTGAACTTCCTTCCCAATTCGAGCTTCTTCACTCAGCTAGAAACCAAAAAGGAAAGGGTTATTGCAAAAGACGAAGAGACGGAAACAGAGTGAGGGAAAGGAAGTGGCTTCTATGGCAGTATAAAGATAAAGAATTCTGAAGGTTCAAAGTACCTTGCGCTTCCGATCCAATTGCAACATGTCCTCATTACTAGGGACAAATTCATTATCCTGTTGAGGTGATGGAAAGCGTCCCTGCCTGCTCTGTTGAGACATTACATTAATGCTTTGACCTTCAACGCCATATTCCCTAACAAAATGCCCATTCCCTTGCATGATGGGCAAGTTTTTAGAAGGGCCGTCAACAGGTGAATCATAAAGGTAAGAGGCTGCAATTTGTCCATATTTATCAGATACAATCTTGGGCTCAGCAGGTTCACGATGGCCACTTGTCAGAGCCTGAAGATCAAGTAGAACAAAGCTTCAATATCAAATTGACATGCTAATAAATCTCACTTCCAAGTTTTTCCATTGATAGGTTATTATCCACAGCAAGCCTATCATGAGGTATCTTTTACACTACGTCCTAGATAATAAAAATTAATATTAGCAGCATTGCACAAACTGAAAGTGAAAATACTGGTCTCATATGCAATGACTACACGAAAAGATATAAAAAATAACCCATCAAAAACACAGACTCGGGGGCTAAATTACGATGGAAACAAGCGAGGCAATTATTCTAAGTCTAGGAGCATCAAACAAAATAAATGACTTGCGAAGTTATCAAACAGGGGGGTTCAGGAAAATCCAGTGGAGAATAGCAGAAGAGAGTAGCTCCTCCAGAAGACAGAAAGGATACAAAACAGTACACGTCCTATAACCGCTCAAAGGCTTTTTGCAATGTGAAATACCAAGAAACTGATCTCTTTATACATACCGGAGATAGAGAGAGAGCTGACCCAACATTAATTTGTTTAGCATCATATGATCCATATAATTTGCTGTCATAAGAGTGCCTGTAATGGTCCCGACGTTCTGCCATCTCTGTGCCATACAGGACAAACAAAAGACAAAAAAATCAGGAAACAATCCAAAAAAATTGCTTTTGATCCAAAATGAAAAGGTCTGAATGAAACATTGGGAGGCGATAGGTTAATAGCAGACAACGCATTAGAAGTAATCTGAATTGATAAGAGGGTCCTATAAAAACAAGTGTGTATGAATAGTCTACGTTGTTTAAACATCCAGCGGCCTATGATGGATGTAACACAACTGCAGGGGAAATGAGTAGAATCCCTTGGTCATGTTTCCAGATTAGGTAGGCAAGCTTCAGGAGAGCAACTCACAACGCAATGTTTTGATATATACTGAATGATCTTGATCTCATTTGAAATTCACATACAGGCAAGGATATTCATTACTTCACTTCCACCATTCACATCAAGTTATTACTGCTCTACGTCCCAGAGGAAAATTAAGAGGAATCCAAAAGTACTCCAAAGAGCAATTTACAAACATATATGATGCTAGAATCTCATAAAATTGGGGAAGAAAGCAACAAACAATAATAAAAGGCACTCAATAATGCAGTGTTCTGGTTGAAAATAATCTTCTGCCCGAAAAGATAATCAAATCAAGTTTGGACTTATATGACACCGAACTTTATGCCACAGAGCTAATGCTCTTTCAAATATAATCATTATCAAGAAAACAAATATGCATTCACAAGCATATGAGATATCATCGTGAACTACACCAACAAAGACATGGAAAGATAGGAACCCAAAGGAAAAAACAAATTGTCAAATTCTTTCATTTCAATACCAATATCCAAATCTAGAAGACCGATATTGTACATGCATTAATATTATAATATCTCTAATAACATAAAAAAATTAATTTACCAATAGGTGTTCCAAATGCACCAGGTGGCAGCTCATCAAACTCTACCCCAAGAATAGGACCATCTTCACGTAAAGGTTCTCCTAATTGTGCCTCTATACAAGCTATCACCCTGCGCTCCATTGTCCTCCTAGGTGATTCATAATATCTTATAGGCGGTGTTGGCATACCATCCCCATTATCAAACCGACTTGACCCTGACCCTGACCCGGACCTTGAAGCTGATCCTGAGCCACGATCACTAGCAGCTTCAGCAACCATTAAATCCTCCCTAGGTGACACTGTCACGTTCCTCCTCCCACCTGACTCACCAGCACGTGGCTTCTTTTCTGTCCCCCCTGAGGTGTTTTTATCCTTTAACCTCCTGTGACAAAACCACATCTGTAATTGCCGATCCGTTAGACCTAATTTTTCTGATAGCTCAGCTCGAGTGACCTCAGATGGATACGTCTCCACTGCATAAATAACAAAGCAAAACAAAAGAATTAATGAACCAAATATCACAAGTATAAAAACACAAACACATAAAAAATTTGATAACTAAAGGTTCACATCAATCCATGCATGGTAATGGCAGAAACTTCTATGAAGACCAAATATTTGTCTACCCGATCTCTAAATCTATAGTATCATTCAAACCCATGACTGGTTCAAACACATATATAAGCAGAGTAGATAAATATTAAGCAAGAATTGCATATTCCACAGAAACATTACTTCCAAAAACTCCTTCAACACACAGAGCATAATCAAAAGGCAGAAGTACAAAACATACACCATAACAATAACACAACTAAAGAACCTAACCAATAAGAGTACAAACATTGAATGATAAGAATCCACAGAAAGACCCAAAATTTCACCTATATCCTAAATCAAGCATAGTATCCCCATCCCAGCTGTTTCCTAGTACATAAATATTCAAACTAGACAAAGTCATCTTCTAATCTCATTACACATAGCAAATAGACACATGTGAACAGCATAATACACCAAAATCTCCAAGATTTCCACATCTAGAATCAATTTAAACAAACCCCAGATCAAAAAATGAAGTCCAAAAGTGAAAGATAAAGAAGACATACTAGCATAGACTCTTTCTAGGGTTTCTAATTGAAAGGGAGTCTTCATCTGCCGTTTTGGTTTCTTGGGTCCTTCAGATGAACTCTGATTAACGTTCCTATTGCCTTCGCCTTCCGACCCACCATCCATTTTTCAGATCTTTCTTTCAAGAAAACCCTAAAAATCCAATCTTTGTTGAAAATAAAACAACCCCTTATTACATATGGGCAACTATATATTCTTCCCGTGACAGCCAAGAACACATGAATGAAAAATGATGAGGTAAATAATAAGAATAAATAGAAAAGAGAAAAACAAAAATAAACCCAATACAGAAGGGAGGCGAAAGAGGAAGAATAAGATGAAGAAATTGAATAAAAAGGAACAGTATAGTAGAACAAGTCCCTCTTGTTGGTTCCAAATTCCATGTTCTTTCGGTGTGTAATTGTTGTAATTTTTAATTTTTTCCGAATTTCGTTTTTAAAAAAGGAATTTCCAAAACACGTTACAAGGGTACATGTACTAACTTCTTTTCTTGTTGTTTAAAACAAAACACTTGAGTTTTGAGTCTTTTTCTTTTTTTTGACAACGAAATCAAATGGAAATTTTTATGTGCGTGTTTCATTGATCGAGAGGCACTTTTGTTTCTCTTTTTATATTATTTTTTTACTTTATTTTTTATTTCTATTTAAAGTGGGACTTTCTGGGTTTTTCGGTACTTTCAGGTTTATCTTCACTTGTAATCTTTTGCTTCACATCTTGCTTGAAGAATCTTCTCTTTTTCGTGTGACTAATCCGATTTGTGAGGCTCAGGAATTTGTTTAAGTGGGCTCCACCACTTTTTGGGCCTAATAGTGTCTTCATCGTTGGGCTTGTTATACTCCTATCAAATTTGAAAGGAATTTTTACATTCCTATGCTACATAAGAAACCTTATTACCCTCAATATTTAAGGTTTGATTTAATTACATTTAGTATACCAAATTATCAATCTTATACCATACTTAATTAAGAGTCTAATTAATGGGCAGTTTTTACTCCTTAATTAAAGGTGTCCATATATCCCACGTTTCTTTATCCCCCTAATTCCTAAGACCTACGCAGTTTTTCCCCTCCCATTTCTTCCTCTTCTCCATTCCTTCTTCTTCTCAAAAAATACAGAGATGGAAATTGCAATTTTGTTACGTACGAAATAGTAGGGCCCACACTTTCCTATTTCTTTTCGGATTCAAAATCATATTCTTATGGTTTTACGACATAGAGCTACTGCCTTTTTGGTTCTTTACAGAGCAAAAGCTACCCACGTTCTTCATTATTCTCCATTTAAATTCACCAAATATTGAAGATATACACACATTTACCTTCAGCTTCAAATTTTCTCAATGAAGAAGAACAAACCTTCAAAGAGATAAAAGAGCAACAATTCCACCATTGACAGCCATTACAAAGCTTTGAATCTTTGAATTCAAATTTGGGTTTTCAAAAATCATTATTTGTTTTGATTGGGTATTGTTGTAAATAATTGGGAATATGTTTTGGAGTTTATATCTCAATTTTGAGGGGTTTTGGTGAAGATTTAGACTTGGTTTTGGCTGAATTGTAGATTGAAACTCGAAGAAGAAGAAGACATATTGCAGAAATTGTAGATAAATTGTAGATAAATTATAGTTACAGTTGGATTAATCAAAATTTGAACTAAATACATCTTCGCACATGTTGACTACAAAAATTTTCTCTTCATCCACAAAAATTCTACAAATATACTACAAATCAATTTTAAGTATGTATAAAGCAATATTATTTGTAAGGGTATCTATATAATTACTACATTTATACTATAATTAAACTACAATCTATGTTAAAAATCTACAAATTATCTATAAAATATCTACAAACTGGTACATTGAATTTTAATATCCCAATTCTCATTCAATTGTAGCATAATTGGGATTTTTGACATAATTGCATTTTTTCAGAAGATTTGTAGAAGTTTTAGTCGTTTTTGTTGTGTAAAAACAGAAAACAAAGCACCTACAATTAGAATACAAATAATCTACAATTTATCTACAAAATATCTACAAACTGGGTACATTAAATTTTATATCCCAATTTTCATCCAATTGTAGCATAATTGTGATTTTTGACATAATTGCATTTTTTCAGAAGATTTGTAGAAGTTTTAGCAACTTTTTTATTTATGAAAACAGAAAATAAAGCATCTACAATCAGAATACAAATAATCTATAATTTAACTACAATTTATCTACAATATGTCTTCTTCTTCTTCTTCTTCTTCGAGTTTCATGTCCAAACCAAGTCTAATCTTCATCAAAACCCCTCAAAATTGAGATATAAACTCCAAACTATATTCCCGATTATTTTCAACAACACCCAATCCGAACAACAAATTTGAATTCAAAGCTTTCAAGCCTTTTTAATGGCTATCAATGGTGAAAAATATATGGAAGAACAGATGAAGATGAAGATGAAGAATAGAAATCTCCTTTCCGTTTCAAAACTTGTGGACTGGGCGGGTAATTTACATAGTATGCACATATTTGGTAATAAGGTTTCATATATGGTATAGTTAGGAAAAAGTCCCAATTTGAAATGGGCTTGCAAATTATACATAAGGCATTTTTACATTCCTATGCCATATAGCAAATTATATTACCCTCCATGCTTAACTTTTAATATAATTACCTTTTATATACCTAATTATCATTTATGTACATTTTAGGAGTTTTAATGGTATTAATTAGTCTCCTAATTTAACTCTACTGTATATTCCCACTCTCCCCACGTTTCTCTCTCCAAATACCACCTCCTCACCCATGTATCAAACTACACCCCACGATTTTCTCTTCAATCACCCACTATTTCCTCTTCTAAAACTAGCAAAAATCTGTAACCCCTCCATTAACGCCTATTCTCAAGTTCTTTCTTCTAAAATCAGTCAAAATTTCTACTATTCTTCAAAGTTCATTCGCCCATTAACGACTAGCTTCAAAAATTTTCAATGAAGAAGAACAGAGCTTCAAAGAACATTCCTAAAAAAGTTAAAGAAGCAGATGTTCCTTCTTTCGATTTGGGTGTTTTATCACCACATTTCAACTACTGATGATGGGCTTTATCTGCTGTGTATTAATACCTTATATCTTTCTCGTATTTCCTATATCTCTTATATTGCTGTTACTTTGTTTTTTATGGCATTTATGTTATGTTATGGATTTCATGGTATTTTATGTTGTTTTATTATGAGTCTATTGATAGTACTAATATAGTGTCTCTTGTTGCCTCTTCGAGCCGAGGGTCTCCTGGAAACAACCTCTCTGCCTCTCGGGTAGAGGTAAGGTCTGCGTACATATTACCCTCCCCATACCCCACTTGTGGGATTACACTGGGTTGTTGTTGTTGTTGTTGTATCACCACATTCACCGAAAAAGCATGAAAAATCTGCTCATGAAAATGAAGAGAAGAAGCATAGGCTTTCCCCTCGTCAAGCTAGGGCAGAAGCTAAAACTAAACAAAAACATGATTTTGATGCTGGTGAATCTTCGAGGCAAATCAATTCAGCGAAAAGGAAAGGCTAAGAGATAGATTTTTATGATGATTTTTGTAGAAAATGAACCTGTCATTAAACTTGTAGAAGATTCGTTGTAGTTTTCTGAATCTGTTTAAACTTGTAGATATATTGTAAAAAAATTGTAATTATATTATTTTTGTTTGTAACTGTATTATGTAGTTGTAGATATATTGTATGTCAAATGTAGATATGTTATTTTTTAGATTGGAGCAGTGTATTAATAAGAGATTGGTGCAACATTGTAGACGCTATGGAGCGCTACTTGTCACACCTCCTTTTTTACCACCCGATGGGTATAAGGGAGTTTTTCCAATTAAAGTGACATTATTCGAAATGGGATTATTTAAATTAATCAAAGTCGCCACTTGGAATAATTTATTTGGTGTCCCAAGTCACCAGTTTATTTTAAAATCCCAAATCGAGGAAAATTGACTTTATTTTAAAGTCTGCGAACCAGAAATTCTAAGTAAGGAATTCTGTTAACCCGGGAGAAGGTGTTAGGCATTCCCGGATTCCGTAGTTCTAGCACGGTCGCTTAGCAATTTATACTTGGCTTAAAAATGTCTAATTACTTATTTTAAAACCTATGTGAATTTATCTTTTACCGTTTTTAATCACTTGATTATTCGTAATTAAAGAATTGAGTTACGCGTATGTATACTCTTTTCTTTTGGCGCGTCAAAAACCATGTCACATGAACGTGTCCACAATTAATAATGGTTTGTTTATTTTATTAAGAGAAGTTTGGTTGAAGGTGCGCGAACGCATCCATCGAGTTACTTTTAGAAATAAATTTGTAATTATGTTATGCAAACGTATATATAATCACAATACTATTCCAAGTCGAGCCTAAAGCAAAACTACGATTATTTTAGGATTATTAAATATCTAAGTGATACTAATAAGAGGGCCATATCTTATTTAATGAAAGATGGCACACCTCAATTGTTTAATTAAGGTAATAAAAGGAAGTTCTTATTTACAAATGGTTTGAACTTAATAAACAAATGTTAATGGTAATAGGTTTTGGGCTACTTATATTGGGCCTTTGATTATTTGGGAAATGTGGGACAACAACAGGCCCCATTTTTTATCAGGAGAAAGACGGAGTGCTGAGGGTGCCTGGGCTCGAAGCTGAGCCCAAAGGCATAGACCTTCGAAACCCTCAACATGTCCAGAATGATTGAGGCTATTTGGTTTGGGTTGGTGCCTAACCTAATAATGCACAAACAAAATTCCACATGAAAAATCCTTTTCTTATCAAATTAACATAAATCTTTGGAAAACAAGAACAAAGCTAAAAATTTAACATGCTGAAACCAGTGCTGGAAGACATTTACATTAGCTGAATAAAATGACACCATGACATGTAGGTCTAAAATATGAGAATGCCTATGGGCCAGAATAAGGCCCAAAACGTTTCTGCTGTCAGTTGGCCTGCTTATGTGATACATGAGAGCTTTTAAACGGGCTTAACTTTGAGCCCAAACATATGCAACATCAAAACACGTATCCAAACTGCCTTAACAAAGTAGCCAAAGATCCGAAGAAAACATTGATTTTTATCTACCAACATACACCTGATTACAATACTAACCATGAAAACTACCACTTAGCTTATGTAGGAGCTAGTTTATAATCTTTACAAAGTTCAGTCCACTTATTACAAAAATCTGATACAATGGCAATTTTACAGCAGTAAACAGACTTTTGCATTGCTATTAAACCAAAAATACTGCTTTCTTAAAAATATTCCAAGTAACAATCCAATCTACAACTGCTTTACTAACTATATTTAGGCTAAAACTATTACAAACTTGCATAACTAATAGAGAATTCCTGCCTCTTTTGGACATGGCTTGTCCATTAGAACTTGGTCTTCCTTTGTGAAAAGAACAGTGTGAGTCCCACTTTAAGGCTTCTGAACCTGCTGATTTAACCAACCAGTGGCTAAATCAGCAGGCTATAGCTCATGGCCAAACAATAA